TATCTATAAATGACATTCAAACCAAACACTACTTGTTTAGACATGATAAAAATTGTTAATGTTAGTCGTAATGAGTACATAATGTTTTTTTTATATAAAAACAGTGTTACTTAGGTATTTAAGAAGATGCCAGCCACACCTGCATGACAAACATGACCAACTAATTAAATTTGTGGTCAACAGAACTAAATTAGTGTTGTTAGTTTCACAGCTTATGAATTGACCTATTATCATATTATTCAAACTTTTAATTAAGAATATTATCTGTGTTTATATAATGCCATTTTTACGGTATTGTAATTTGTTAAATAAGTTATGACCATATTCAATATTTCAATTTAAAAATATTCATATATTGTGGTAAAATTGAATTATCATAAAAAACTAGTGTATAAATAGGGATGATGTTTCAACATTAAATTTGATAAGGAGCCTGATACATTCGTTTATGTTTATACTGTTGGTTATTTAATGTTCTTTTTTCATGTGGTATCATTTTTTCAGAGTAAAATTGTAAATTATATTTATCCAACTGCATACTTTGTTCTATTGCAGGTCCCAAACTTTGAATATTTTAAGTAATCTAATTGACACACGACAAGCTGTAGTACTTTTTTGCATATGGCGCTTATGTCTGTGAGTAGGCTTGAAGGCCTAGTTTGGACACCTATTTGGCAGAATTTCTAATGGGCATCCGTAGTTGTTTAGCCCTAGTGGGGGGCGGCAGCCTCTCTCCAGACAGTGTGAACTGCCCGGAAAGCGATGCCGCCCATGACCGAGATTCGAACCAGCAATGGTTTGCGTTGCTCCGATGCCTATATCCACCTGGTCACTGCACCCTCAGCTGTAGTACTGTAAACTATGTTAATTAAATACTATTACTCATCATGCTTGCTATCAAAATTAGACTTTTTATTCTAAATCAATAAACAATAAAAATAAAAATAAATTGTTTAATTATTCTAATAATGCAATCTCTACAGTTACATTGAACTACTTAGCTAATGTGCTAATGAGTGCAATTCAGTCAAGAAAAGGAAATCAACATTCTTATCCCTGTATTCTATATTTTTAAAAAAATTTTAGGTATAGTATGAAACTATGAACTATTTATGAGAATCCATGTATTCAATTTTCAAGATTGTTGACTGTGCAAAAAAATTGTATAGACAATAATTTGAAAATAACAAAAAAAATTAGTTTTTTTTTGGCCAATAAATAGCTCAAAAAGAGTCAATTAAAATTGTTCTCTAAAGGCCAAGTCAATGTTTCCCATTATTTTTAATTTGCAACTTTATGTTTTGCAATACGTTTATACATTTTTACTTTTTTTGAATTTCTTTGTATTTATTGTTTGATTACTAAATTATTTAAAAGAGATATAGTTATTTATCATTATTTTTTTTGATTTGTTATTTTATTATTTTTTTTACACTTTGATTAAATGATGAGTTAGAAGTATAGAAATATGTAATTGGTAATTACTAATTAGTAAATAGTGATTTATCAGATATCGGTTTTAT